ATATCAAAACGGATAGACAAAACCTTGATATTGCACTGTGCAAATCCATATCTGACTTCTCTTGCTTGTGTTTGATCAAATCGTACCAAGTTGGGTCTCACTGTTTGCTGATGTGCTTCTGAACAGCATGTACTTTACTAATAACCATAGCGGTTCCTTTCTGTTTTCTTCCTTGTTTTCTTTTATGGCATAACATTTGGAATATCTGTCTTCAGCTGATTTATCTAGATGTATGTGTCAAAAAAAAAAAAAAAAAAAAAAAAGGTTGTGGGGCAGATGTCAGATTTCAAAATATTGGTATTTTTAAACAATTTAGACACCTGTCAAATGTTCAGTATAGTCCATTTATCTGGGGTGATTAGATTAGAAATGGAGACAGCATTGACAAGGAGTAGATCTTAGAATTTTTATGGAAAGACAAAAATACATGATGGAAAGATTTATGCAGTCTTATATATGAACAATAAGTATATTCAATGATTTAATATTGAAAATATATGGAACAATACTTTGTTAATATATTACAAAATATTGAATAATTCATAAGTAATTGCTTATTTTCATATATTTAATGTGACAATATATTTATTCATATATACTAGTTATGTATATAAACACTAGTTTCTTGTATATAGGAATGCATTTTGTAATATATTGCATTGTATTTTCGAGTATATTTCCATATATTTTTATTTTGTAAGCAATTGTCTCTTTGAATTTCTTTCGAATAATCAATAGCCAATAATGCCTGAGACAGAGAGTGACAAAATAATAAGAATAATGTTAGATGTTGTGTTTACTGCATACTGCATACTGCTTGGAGATATAATTTGCATGGCTTTTGAAACTTGAAAGTTTCCTTAAGCACAGTATAGTACATCCTTTCTCAGGAATGGCCAATAGAGACTTGTTTGCATAGAAAATTACCATGCAAACTTTGTACAGCAGTTGGGTTAAACCACTTGCTGTCATATTCCATTGCCACTGCTACCATCTTTCATGCTTAACATGAATAAATGAATCACCTGTGAATGTATGCAGTTACTGATAAATACAAATTGTTGTCATGACAGTTGTGTTGTGTGTGACTGAATTATTCACAATGAAAGCGAATGTTTGTAGAGCATTTCGACAGGCATGTTAGCAATGCTTTCAGGTGTGGCGTTTCTGTACAAGATGTTTACTATGACAGTAAATGGCTTGAAATATGCTGCAAATGCAAGTATGCTTAATAATTTGATCTGAATGTGAACTGCATGATTGTTTCTTACCATGAATGACATCGGAAATTTTGTATTGCTCATGCTATTGAGTGATTTCAGATTGAATGAATAAAAGAGTAACTAGGTACTGCCTTTAGGTCCATTCATTTATTTATGGACGTTACATATATTACGAATGAAATAAACTACGGCTTGACAAATCTTTGATCTTAGTCTAGGGTAGCTTTTAGTCCCCTATGTCTTCTAATTTATATTCATGACATTCTCTTCCTCAGCTCTTGCTGTCTAAAGATGAGTATGTAGGGAGACTGTGGCCAATTGTTAAATTGTGTACACTTTCCTTTATAACTGACAGAGCATTACAAATCTGTGGTAAAATAAATATATACAGTATGTGCCCAATCCATGCTAGGGTCATCAAAATGTCTATGCTGAGAAAGACTTGATTGTAAATCACATTTTATACAATAAACAAATAAGTAAAGTTTGGTTGGAAAATCCCATTTTACTGAATAAGGGAGTATGATTGAATTATTATTTATTTATACATGAAAGTATTGCATATTATTAGTCATATTACTAAATGAATAGATTCATTTACCTGTAGTTGCAGCAGAAAGGTTAAGCGTGACCTAAATGACAATTACTTAAAATGGCTTGAAATGATATATGTGTGCTTGTTTGACGAGACAGTTCTGAGTTCAAAAATTCAAGTATGGATTTTTCTTGACACCTCACATAAACCAAAGTCTACTTTTAATCACGGGCACTTGACACTTTCATGTTAGATTCAGCAAACCTAGCTACAGGCAATTTGAGCTTTAGAAACTTCAGACATTTTAAACTTATGATATGCCTGCTTTTGCAGAACTTCCAAACTATATTGTGTATAGGCTATCATTAAACTATCATTATCTATTATGTTGTTATATTGCAACTTTTTCTAACAGTTATAGTTTCATCTGAAGCCATAGATGTGTTTTCCTGTGTAATTTCTCTCTCTTTTTTGTCTGTTGTCCTTATCTTTGTCAAGACCAAATATTTCAAGTTGTCAAGTAAATCATCTCCTAAAACACGACTCATGAAATCTGCTTGATGACAGTAATTTACCTAAACCATACATTTTAGATTGGACAGATAGATAGATAGATAGATAGATAGATAGATAGATAGATTGATTGATTGATTGATTGATTGTGGTGTAAATACACCACTGTTCCATTAACCAGTAACCAGCAGAGAAATGTTTGTGCAGTGTACGACCTCCCTCTTCTGGACAGTAATGGTCAGTGCATATTCTTTTCTCTTTTACAGAGTAGCAATTGTTTTAAATATATTTCAGACCATATTTATACACAATTTGGTTACTGTGATCTAATGTGATCTCTTGATTAGTTCCATAAATAAAAGTTTAGTGACAAAATCGTCATGTCATGCATTTTTTTTTTTAAATTTGTACACCATTTTGTATAGCTTTCAAGCTTTAAAGGGATAGTTCACCCAAGAATGAAAATTTGATGTTTATCTGCTTACCCCCAGGGCATCCAAGATGTAGGTGACTTTGTTTCTTCAGTAGAACACATTTGATGATTTTTAACTTTAACCGTTGCAGTCTATCAGTCGTATAATGCATGGCAATGGTAACAAAATCTATGAGAGTAAAAAAAACATGCACAGACAAATCCAAATTAAACCCTGCGGCTCGTGACGACACATTGATGTCCTAAGACACGAAACGATCGGTTTGTGCGAGAAACCGAACAGTATTTATATCATATTTTACCTCTAATACACCACTATGTCCAACTGTCTTTTGGCGCACGCACGGCTTCCGGTGCGTGAGGAGTGTACTACGTTCTGGCGTAGTTTATGTTAAAGGGTGTGTTGATATCCAGCCGAAGAGCAATCAACCATAACTTCAGGCGAGCAGGCTCAGAAGTTGGGAATACGTGGAAGTCACCACTCCCGAATGAGTTCGCTCGAGAGAACGTAATCTTTTAGTTTTAAGTCGGTTTGAACAATCCGGATAAGCGCAAGTAAGTACCATTTTGATTAGCCGTCGTACCTACAATGACTGTGCACTGTGTAAACAATGAGTGACGTATACGCGTGAGAGATCACTTCCGGCGCTTGCGTAAACTACGCCAGAGCGTGTACACACCTCACGCATCGGATGCCGTGCGCGCGCCCAAAGACAGTTGAACATAGTGGTGTATTAGAGGTAAAATATGATATAAATACTGTTCGGTTTCTGGCACAAACCGATCGTTTCGTGTCTTAGGACATCAATGTGTTGTCACGAGCCGCAGAGTTTAATTTGGATTTGTCTGTGCATGTTTTTTTTACTCTCATAGATTTTGTTACCATTGCCATCCATTATACGACTGATAGACTGCAACGGTTGGAGTTAAAAATCATCAAATGTGTTCTACTGAAGAAACAAAGTCACCTACATCTTGGATGCCCTGGGGGTAAGCAGATAAACATCAAATTTTCATTCTTGGGTGGACTATCCCTTTAAAGACTGTATTTTAAGTCATTGGACCCTTTTCACAGACTGTGATGACACGTTTCAATGGCCATCATCATTGTAAACCCTGCAACGTTTTTTTTTTTTCTTTTTCATATTTTCATTTTTTTTAAGTATTTACATTTATAACACTACACTTTGTATTACCTTTGCATTACATGATACTAGTTAACACAGCTGTGAGGATAAGTGTAATAAAGCGGCTGTGGGATCGACTGTAAATTTAACATTGTTCTGCCGCTATCAGTCTCTCTCTCTTTTTTACTCATTTTGAAATTTGTAAAAACACTATCCTGATTGCTCAATTCAACTGTTTGCTCAATTCAGCATGTGAGACTTTCCGTTCACAAAAACGAAAGAATTAGGGGTGTATTTAGGTAAGTGGGTGTATAGGGCCCCAGGGACACAGATATGGCAAACTCCTGTGTTTGTGCTCTGAAGAGCATCAAAGGTTTCTAATTACAATTAGTTTTTGCAGCGTTGAACAATGTAGCCAATCACAGACATAAATGTTTATTTCTTGAGCGCAATGGCCAATCAGAGGTGTTTAAGGTAGTCCGAATACACTCACCAGGCTCGCTAATCCTCTCATTATAACAAACAAAACGTAAACAAAATATAAATAAGAGATTCATTGTGCAGTATATACAGCTTTATTGATTGTAATGGAACTTTGTGAGATTTAAATGAACAAAGAAGTGAGTGATAGCTTTTTACGGGATTATAAAGGAGGGGATTGTATTTCCATATTGTGTCTGGCCAAACTCTGAAATACAGAATGAGCGAGCCTCACGGGCAAAAAAAAAAAAAAAAACATCAGGTTGACTAATAACCAAATTTGCACTATTCCATAGATAGCTTGTGAAGAGATAAATAAACTCCCCAAATCAATAAGTCCACCCCTTGACAGAATGGACAAATTAATGTCTAAATGTGACTGGTGACATTACAATGACACAGAGATGTTACTGAAACTTATTTTTAGACAAGTTTTGTCTGTTTTGTAGGTTGATAAAAGTTTTACATTTACATTACGGAGATCTGCTGTGTCGTCATTTGTGATACATGCACATTTTAGTCAAGAATAATTAGACTTCATGCATTTTTTTGTATGTGTAATATGATCAATGAACGATTCAGTGAACAAATCTTTTTAGTGAACGGATTCAAAAGACTTGAGTTAACTGATATAAATCAAACTTCCCACCACTATTTTATTACATGTGAAATGAAGTTGACACTATATCATGTGTTATGCTAGATCAGGTATGTTAAAATTACATTTTAATGCTTTTTAATTTAAGTGTGTCAGTATAACAAATAAGGTGAACATAATGAAATCACAAACTTAGCTTAGCATGTGTTCTTTTCAATCATATTTGATCTGATGTACTTTCCAGTACTTTCAACATACTTTCTACCATTTCAATTGTGTGTTGCCAATAAAACATTATTCACTACTATGGTTTGTTCAGCACTAATGACAGCTTAATTGCACACATGAATAGCTGTCACGTTTCTTTAGAATGAATCATAATTTAACATTGCCAAAAACTTGATCTTAATTAAAGATGTTCTTTCTGTCTATCAGCTGCTGAAAAGGACACACCTATACATTTTCATGGGAAAATGAAACAAAAAAATGCCTTTGGGGATTATGGGAATTTTTTTGCATGCAGCACAAATATCTCAGGTAGTAGGCTACTAAAAGTCATTCTGGTATTTGTTGCATGCAACATATATTGAAAGTTATTTGTCTACAGTGTGTTGAAATAGAGCTTTTTGTTTTTTCTTGCTATTGAGCTAATGATGACCCCATTTACCTGCTATTGTTATTTTGAGATTAATATCTACCTCCACTGTTGCATAGTGTTATCAAATGCAAAAGTGATTATTAAATCAGTGTTATCATGTAGAGTAAAACTTGTTTGATTTCTGCAGAGAAAAAATGTAGTCACCCAGGCAACACACCAAATGGTGATTTTAAACTTACAAAGGGAACAGAGTTTGTTTTTGGAGCAACAGTGGTGTATACTTGCAAGAAAGGGTAAATGTGCTTTATACGTGCTTTATGCTTTTTTATTATCTTTTTTATTGCATGTAATGTATACAATTGTCATCAGTTTCACAATCGTTGTACTTGTAAAAACACTGTGGTAACAGGTATAAAATGACAAGCAGAACCAATCAGCATACCTGCACAGCTCAAGGATGGAACAATGTTGTCCCTATCTGTGAGGGTACGATTTATTGAAAGTCACTCTTTTTCTTTTTTCTTGTTTGATTTCTCTCAGTAATATAATAGCATCTGGTATCACCATAAGAGCATATGGTAGCATCACACATGAACTGAAACATTTAAACACATCGAATTAAACATGAAATTCTGAAGTAGAAAGACTGAAATAGTATTTTCTTGTAAAATACACACACAATATTTTTTGTTTCATTTACAACTTAGAAAAATCATTCCACAGTGTAGTTTAACAAATACTCCACTGTAAAAAAAAAAAAAAATTTTTTTTTTTTTTTGTATTTTTAAAAAAAAAAAAAAGAAATAATAATAATAAATAAAAAAATATAAGTAAGTGAGAGAGTAAGTACGTAAGTAGATAAATAAATAAATAATAGCTTTTGATGAACAGAGTACATTTTGGTGTCCATATATAGGCCTACTGTATTATTATTATTATTTCTTTTTTTTTTTTTTGCTTTTTGGATATTTATAACAAAGAAAAAAAAAGTCAATTATTTGTCACCTGCAAAAGAAAAATAAGAGTTTAGCAGATTTTTGATGCTTCATCTCTTCTTACCCTTAGTTCTACATAATTATGTCTTGTACAGAAGTAACTTGTGAGCTTAAGCCAACCAAGTTGAGAGTAAAAAATATCAATCCGAAGGAAAATACTATATTTTCAGAGCTGGAGAAAGTGTGGAGATCACCTGCTCTGAAAAATACTGGTTTATCTTACAAAAACAACAATTACATCATTTACATGCAAAGATAACGGCGAGTGGGAATATAAGCCTATTTGTGAAGGTAAGAGTATAGAGACATACTTCTGAATTTGGTGATGAATTCATTTTATGTTCTTAAAAGCATGTGAAACTTGTTTCAGAGATTACGTGTGCAGATCCACATGACAAGCATGTGTCTAGACCATACTGGGGAAATCTGAAATTGGGAGCAAAACTAGTTGTGTGTCTGGATATTGTAAAACCGTAGCAGAGGCCATATGTACACAAGACGGATGGGCACCAAAACCACTGTGTGCTGGTATGTTCTGCTGTGTAGTATTACAATCTTTCTACTCACATAATATCAATTATATGATTATGCTGATGTTTATTTTTTTATTATTTATTTATTGATTTTAGAAATTATGTGTGACCCACCAAAAATCCCAAATGCAGAGATTGTGGAAAGTCAAATATCAAACTACAGAATCAATTCAAGAACACAATATACAGTAAATGTCGTCCTTGGTTTAATCCAGAGCAGCCTGTACAAATCACATGTAGTTCCCATGGCCAATAGAGAGGTATACGGCAATGCACTGGTATGTTACAGTTTATTGACATTTTGCCTCTAATTCCATTTAAAAGTTAAAAGTAAAAAAAAAAAAGAAAAAGTTAACAACATTCACTGATGCTCAAGAAAGAAACACAATGCATTTGGAGCCAGGGGTGCAAATCTTAAAATGGATCTTAAAATCATACAGGCCACAGAGAATATATTATTAATTAACATATCAAAAAAGAGAACTATTGTTCAGCATTGTTCATATTAAAGTAAATGCTAAACTTTGCTATGCAACGTTGACGCACAAATTATTTTTCTTAAACATTTTATTAAAATTATCTCATATTATCGTATTAACAATATGTGATATAATAATAATAACATGTTCTATGGTTTAGAAACATTAAAAAGACATCTGCTTAATATTGAGATTTATTAATGCCAATTTTTGACGACAGTCTATATGAAAAAATAATGAATAAATAAAACATAAAAAAATACAAAATCTTTGCTTTGCCCTAAGTGAAATGTGGACCACCATCAAACATCAACAATGCAGATATAAAAGAAATGATAAAAAGTGAATACAATACAGGACATAGAGTTGAATACATCTGCTTTCATAAATACAGGTTGGATCTGCTGGCCCCCTTCTCTAAATACTTGACCTGTGTGCAAGGTGAATAAAAAGGGAATATTTATTGTTTAAGTAAGTTCGAACACTACACTCCATATACATCAATGACATATTAGGTTTTTCTCACTGTATTTTTATTTGTACATTTGATGTAACCTTGATTGTTTTTTTGTTTTTTGTTTTTTTTTCCTGTTGAATCAAATGCATATTGTAACACTGACATGCTGGGTTTATTTCAGAGCCTTGTTCAGTGATGGTGTAATACATGGATAAAAGAGGTGTAGAGTTGCAATGGAAGGCATAGGAAAATATATTCTTACCACATAATGATGCCACTGAATTTGCATGTCAGAAGGGCAAATATTTAAGAGGCAATAAACCCCTAAGACAAAAATGTAGTGATGGAGTGATGACTTTGCCTGAGTGTGTGTGAAACTTTGAAGCATCAGCTGTACTACTAAGCAAAATAAATAAATAAATATAATTAAATCAATAAATGTAGCATATCAAAATAAAAAAAAATAAAAAAAAATCCCAATTAATTTCTCTGTTTTGGATTTATTGCATGTAAAACTAAAGAAATGCTAAAAGCAACATGTTTTAAATGTGTATGTATTGTAACGGTATATATATATTGTCATGAGCTGGGTTTGATCGTCTCATTTCTCTTTCTTCATTCCCTTCATTACTGCTACTTAGACTTAGCTGTTCTCTATCAGCCTCGCGCTGATTGACTCCGCACCTGTTCTCTCTTTACCTTGATTCTCTCTGCTACTTTACTTTTCTTCTAGTTTCTTTGCCAGATTATTGTTAGCATCCTAACGTTCATTCCTATGGTCTATGTTCTCTGTACAGTTCAAGTGAAGTCGAGTCTTCAGGTCCTTGCACACTGAGTCTGAAATGTTAGTATGTGTTTTTCATATTCGTCATCCTAAAAATCTGTCACGCACAGAAACCTTGCACACTGAGTCAGATGCATATTAATGAATCTGTTGCGAAAAAATGTGCAAAACTGTACTAAATGGAGTCTTCAAGCAGTGAGGATGATTTTGTTGTCCTCTCGGCTCTTAAAAAGAGAAAAAGAAAGGAAATATTGGGTCCATCCTTGTGACCGATCAGCCTGTGATGAGGACGGCCAGGTGCTCCTCGCTTGTTTCCAGGGCGACGCTGATGCAGCTTCGGGAGGCTCGTCACAGTATGAAGACATGAACCCATTTAATATCAGCTAAGCATGGCCTTGCTCTGTGCTCTGAAGGAAGCAGCTTAGGAGGCATATGAGGAGTAGGCGAAGGGATGGAGAAGAGAAGGCAGGCAGACAGCAAAACCCCAGGAGCAGATGATGGTAGGAATTGAGATGGTGAGATGGTTTGTGAGATGGTTTGGAGATATAGAGAGGAAGGAGAGTTCCCCCTCCTTATTAAGGAGCAGAGGGATTATCACGGGTGATTCAAAGTTTACATCAGGATATCAGTGGCTCAGTTTGATGCTTTACTAGCGATGCTAGAGCCACATATTAAAAAGAAGACCACCAATTTATGTGTACTCAGTGCGCAAGGATCTTTACAGTGCTTTGTGCTGCGAGACGAAGTGGATGAACTTGACAATCACTATTCTGGATTTTGGCGTTCGCTTGTACAGTGTCTCTGAATTGTCAAAACACCTCTCAAAATGCTAGCTACGGATGCGAAAAATGCAGAAAATCGAACCCGATTCGAATTTTTTGATGATGGACGTTTTAGTCCTGGCCTTTAGTCCTGTCTTGTATTGTCGTATACGTCTTAACAGTTCCTTTCTCAGTTTTCCTGCTGCCTGAGATCGCTCGCCCATTCGCTGTCTGCAGTGTTGAGTCTGCCGGTTGGGGATTGTGCTCTCTCCCTGTGTGGCCATTACCAATCCTTGGACCCGTAATCCTGACTGTGCTCTCTCTCTCTGCGTGCCCGCTGCCAAGCCCCGGACAACTCATGATTGTGCTCTGTGCTCTGCGTGCCCGCTGTCCTCCCCAGGTCCCGCACTCCTAACCTCTCCTGTCAAGTTTGAGTTTTGCTTTCTACCAGTTCTGTGTCCACCAAGGGTGCTGGTGCACGGCAGACTACCTTAGTTCTCTTCAGTAAATAAAGAGAGAGTCTGAACTAACCTCTGCTCTTGGGTCCTCTGTTTTCCCTGACATAATTATCTGGTCAACATGGACCCAGTAAAGGAGGTACCTATCCGCTTAGCAGTCGAGTTGCAGGGAGCGATGCAGGGCAGACACAAAGAGGAATTATCAGCAGCCAAGCACGCTGTGGAGAGTCTAGCTGCCCAGGTGATGGATTTGACCACTCGCTTTCATCACCAGTCTAGCCCACCGGCATCACAAAGTTCCATTGAACCCAAGGTCAACAATCCCCTTGTTATGTGGGTGAGCCCACTGAATGGGCTTAACCCATTGTGAGATTGTGTTTCCCCTTCAGCCGTCCATTTACAATGAGGATTACGTCAAGGTCGCCTTCATTATTTCTCTGTTGTCGGGGTGAGCACGCAATTGGGGAGCGGCCATCTGGGAATCGGTGCTGTGAGCAGTTCACCCTGTCTGTCTACAGGTGTGAGGCTTCCTGTCTGCTCGCGGTGCTGCACTTGGGGAGATGCCCGTTGCGGACTATGCCAGAGTTCCGTTCATGCTGGCGGCCACATGTGTGTGGAATGAGCCGGCCTTGGTGGCACGCTTCTTGGAGGGGCTGCATATAGATCTTAAGGATGAGATATATGCTTGTGAGCCCCCTTCTCCTGGATTAGCTGGTGGAGTTAGCAATTCAACTTGACAAGCATTTTGAACTACGCCGCCAAGCTCGGGCATGGTCCCTGAACTACGTACTCTCCAGCCCACAGCCACTGTCTAAACTGAGTAACCTGAGTCCATGCAACTGGGTGGGATTCGAATCACTGCTGTTGAATAACATCACAGCATCCACAATAGACTTTATTTATACTGTGGTGCCTCAGTCCATTTTGTCACTACATGTCTGCTAAAAGCCAAGGCTCGCCAGTACTTGCTCGGGGGGTACTTGCGAGTGCTTCTGCCCTCTCCCTATCTCCTAAGACTCGCACCACTTTCGCGGCTGTTCTCCGCTGGGCTGGCGTTTCTTCTGCTTCATTTTCAGGAGAAACCCTGGTGATTTGTCAGGAGTGCCGCAGGAGTATCACGATCTGCGAGCGGTGTTTAGTAATTCCCGTGCTGCTTCTCTCCCTCCTCATCGACCTTATGACTGTAGCATTGATCTTCTCTCTGGCACCTCCCCACCTCATGGGAGATTGTATTCTCTGTCCGCGCCGGAGTGCAAAGCACTCGAGAAATATTAGAGAAATTCCAATCAGGCTTGTTAATGCAACTGCGGTTTTCCAGCCTCTAGTTAATGGCATCTTGAGAGACATGCTCAATATTTTCGTTTTCGTGTACCTGGACGACATCCTTATTTTCTCTCCATCTCTCCAGGTACATGTCCTACACGTTCACATTGTGTTACAGCATCTCTTGGAGAACTGTCATTTTGTGAGAAATGCACGTTTCATGCTAGGTCAGTCACATTTTTGGGGTCAGTCGTATCGGCGGATGGGATCAGTATGGACCCTGCTCAAATTGGCCTGTTCCTGAGTCTCGCTCTGCACTCCAACGATTTCTGGCATTTGCTCATTTTTATTGACGTTTCATCCGAAATTTCAGTTAAGTAGCTGCCCCTCTGACCACTCTTATCTTGACCAAGTCGCGCTTCGTTTGGTCAGAGCGGCCCAGATCGTCTTTGATTGCTTCAAAGGGATATTTACTACTGTGCCTATCCTGATTACTCCCGACCCCAAGGAATAATTCAGTTTGAAGGTGGATGCGTCCGTTGTGGGCGTGGGGATGGTTATCTCGCAGGAAGGTCCACCTATGTGTGTTCTATTCCCACCGGCTTTCGCTGTCCAAGCGTAATTATGATATAGGGAACCGTGAGCTTCTGGCCATCTGGATAGCTCTGGGAAAGTAGCATCAGTGGCTAGAGGGGGCTACCGTTCCATTCGTAGTCTGGACAGATCATAAAAATCTCGAGTATATTAATTCAGCCAAGAGATTAAATGTCCAGCAGGCTCGTTGGTCCCTTTTTTGACCGTTTCAGCTTTACTATCTCTTACAGAACCAGTTCTAAGAATATGAAACCTGACGCCCTCTCCCACCAGCCTCGGTTCTCTACTCACAAGTCTGAGAGTTCTGTTCCCTGAGTGCAGGCGTTTATTCAATGGTGCCGTCACACCTGGAGAAGGGTGAGAACCGTGCTGTGCCACAACAGAGAACACACACGACGTGACGCAAATCGATGGCACACCACGGCCCCAAGATACGTTTGCGGTTAGAGGGTGTGGCTGTCCAATCGTAACTTGCTGCTCTAATCTATTTCCCATAAAATAGCACGCCGTTTTATTGGGCCCTTTTCAATTGTCAAAGTTCTTAGTCCTGTGGCGATACAACTCAGATTACCTAGCTATCTGAAATGCACCCATCCTGTATTCCTCATTAATCATTAAGGCCCCCACCCATCCCATCCCTTCTTCCGCTCTTGTCGAAGGCTCTCCTGTCTATAGGGTTAGGAGACTGCTGGATGTTCATCCCCGGGGGTGTGGTTACCAGTATTTGGATGACTGAGAGGGGTACAGCCCGGAGGAGAGGAGCTGAATTCTGGCTCGGGGCATTCTGGACTGCTCGCTCATCACAGACTTCCTTCGCTCTCACTGGTTCTCTACCTCAGGAGCGCCTGGGGGTGCTCGTCGGGGAGGGGTACTGTCATGAGCTGGGTTTGGTCTTTCCCCTTGTTTCTCTTTCTCCCATCATTACTGCTACTTAGACTCAGCTGTTCTCTATTGCGATAAGTGCTCAAGCTGATTGACTCTGTACCTGTTCTCTCTTCACCTTGATTCTCTCTGCTATTTTACTCTGCTGTTCTTTTAGCTTCTTTGCCAGATAATTGTTAGCACCCTAATGTTCATTCCTATGGTCTACATTCTCTGTATAGTTCAAGTCAAGTCGAGTCTTAGTCCTGTCATCCTGTCGTATACATCTTATCTGTTCTATGCCAAATTTTTCTGCTGCCTGAGATCGCTCGCCCATTCGCTGCCTGTGGTGTTGAGTGTGCTAGTTGGGGATTATGCTCTCCCTCTGCGTGGCCGCTACCAAGACACGGACCAGCTACTCCTGATTGTGCTCTCTCTCTGCATGCCCGCTGTCTTACCCAGGTCCCGCACTCCTCACCTCTCCTGTCAAGTTTGAGTTTTGCTTTCTATCAGTTCTGTGTCCACCAAGAGTGCCGGTGCATGGCAGAGTGCCTTAGTTCTCTTCAGTAAATAAATAGAAAGTCTTAACTAACCTCTGCTCTTGGGTCCTCAGGGTTTGCCCTGACATATGTATTATGCATTTAACGTAGGGTGTGACTGGATTTAAATGGTCAGTGAGATTTGCTATTGCAGTCGGAAAGGATTTGAAAACAGAGACATGAAGTTGGACACTTTCTGCTTCTCGTAGTGACACTCTTGTGTTTGTGTACTTTAATAAACATCAGTGCTGTCTCAAATTGGACAGCATTTCTAACATTCCTAAACACATCTTTTTGACTTCATGTGGCACTGCGCAGACCTATCAGTGTCTGACTTGAAGTAGTGCATGCCAGTTAATAATTTAAATTAAACCATTTAATTAAGTAATTACTTTGTGACCGCTAAAAAGTATTTTCTATATACTGTAGTATGAATGTGTGTAGTACAGTATGAATATAATCCAGATGTACTACGTTCACCATGTTGTCATTATCATATGACCTACCAGCGTCAGTTGCATTACTTCACAAGTCCTCTCCCGTGGCCTCATGGGAAAGTGTCCATCTGATGTGCATTTCAGAATCTTGACATAAAGTGTTGAGCCCAGCTGGGGCTCAACACTTCGCTGTGCAACTGGCTGTTGGACTTTCTGACTGGAAGACCTCAGGCAGTTCGGGTCGGCAGCAACACATCCAGCACCATCACACTGAACACTGGGGCCCCCCAAGGATGTGTGCTGAGCCCCCTCCTCTTCACTCTGCTGACCCACGACTGCACACCGTCACACAACTCCAACCTCTTCATTAAGTTTGCGGATGACACGACTGTAGTGGGTCTCATTAGCAACAAAGATGAGACAAACTATAGGAGCGAGGTGAGCCGCCTGGCCGGGTGGTGCAGTGACAACAATCTCTCTCTGAATGTGGAGAAGACGAAGGAGATTGTTGTTGACTTCAGGAGAGTGCGCACTCAGCATGCTCCTCTGTCCATCAATGGTGTGACTGTGGAGAGGGTGAGCAGCACCAAGTTCCTGGGTGTGCACATCACAGAGGACCTCTCCTGGGCTGACAACACC